AAAGAAACCAATAATACCAATACAAATCAAAACCAATAATAATAAAATATACAGTATATATAAATATTGTGTCTTGTTTCCTTTTTCTATTATTAGCCTATCCACTGCTGTATAGCTGTCTGTATGTCCACAAACATTCGATTACAGAAAACAATACGTTTTCTTTAGTTATTGATGATTATTAATGTACAGTAGAGTGTGAAAACAGCTTAGTCAGCTGGCTCTTGGGGGGGGAGGGGGGCACAGTAAATAAATAAATAAATAAAGCGCAAGGCACGTCAACACCACTAATTAAATGGTATGAGCCGGTCGTGCAGGGGGCGGGGCCTGGAGGATCAGGTCGGGTGGTCCACTGTGACTTTCTCTCTCACCGGAGGAGGCAGGAGGACTGCGGGAGGGAGGGAAGCTCTCCGTCTGTGGCGGACACAATAACGCATGGCTGCTTTACAGAGAAAATGAGCTGAATTGTCTCTCTTTTTCAAAACATAACTTGGTGCAGTGAGATGTGTGCGCTCAGAAGAAGGTAAGACTCTCTCTCTCTCTTTTTTTTTTGGTTTCCTCATCAATCCACAGATTACTTCACAGGCTGAGTGACTTCTGATTTACATAATGAATCGTTGTGATTGTTTCTGATTATTTTTAATCAGGTGGAGAATGTGGTGGTTGTTTTTTTGTTTTTAATTGGCTACTGATGAACACATTGTGAAAATCGCCTTATTTTCACCATCAGTTGGTGATGCTAATTTATGCAGCCTAATGTTTGAGTGTTTGTTTATTCCTTGCATATTTCAAAAGTATTCAAACATGTTAATAGTAAGGGACAGTGTTTCATATCAGTAATGAAGAGAAAAACAATAGGTTGTATCCCTTTGCAGTCTCACTTACATTATATTGTTATATTCCCATCAACAGGTAGGCCTCTTTGATTTAAATGGTTTTGGAATGGAAATATAAATGTTTTATGATTATAAAGAAAATTATGAATGATGTTAGTTGTAAGAAGCTGAAAGGGCTCATGGTTTTGAAGGCAAAAATTAGACATTATCATCAGACACTAACAACACAACTTTTTCAGATGCATGAAAGTCAATTTTATTTGTACAGCCCCAAGAGGCCAATGTGTTATTTGTGACATGGGAGGAGGTATGTAGAGCATACAGCACCCTCTTATTCCCTCCAGGAAGGTGAGAAAGCTCGAGACAAAACGCTTAACTGTCCTTTCTGTAGGGCAGTGTGGGGCTAGTGTTCAAGTTTGATAAAACATAATGATTAATGTCATGGAGGGTTTGAATTATAAACTTAAGGCAATGACTGATTCCCCCAGAGAGTGCAGCTTTTTAGAAATGGACTTCATATGTACAGTAATTCATCATGATAGTGCACTGCTCCAGAGACCTGACAGAACCTGTTATATTACAATGTTTGTAGGAACAAATAAACTCTGCAGTGGTCTGCACAGGCAGCAGAATAAATTACCATGTTGAGGAGATTCATGTGTGTACTTCAGAGGGACGTTGGATCTTACTTTGATGTGACTTATTCTAGGCAAGATTTAAAACACAGGAATTTGTCTTAGTGGAGGTGGTGTGGAGAAATACTTAAAATATTTGAACATGAATTGTGATTTCAGCTATTTTGACATCTGTCTCCGGTTCCAGCTTCTCAGATGTGAGGATCTGCTGCTTTTATCGGTTTTATATCATTGTAAATTCATTTTGGGGGAGATTCTGAGCTGTTGATCAGACAAAACAAGCTATTTGAAGATGTCTACGTGTGTTTTAGGAATTTGTGACGGCCATTTTAAACAATTTTCTGGCATTATATTTCGACAAATGATAAACGGATACATTACACAAGTACTCGAGAGATAGATTAAGAATGGAAATAGTTAGTTGCAGCCCAAGCCCTTGTGCACAAGAGACAGTAATAAATCAGATGTGTTACAGGTGAGAAGATTAGACAAAGTGCTTAAGCTTAAATCTTTTTTTCTATGTGAACGTACATATAAGGATATATGTAACACAATGAAGAGAAGTTTCCATATGTTACAGACTAATCACAAACAGCTGCTTTGAAAAGAACAGGACCTCCTGACCTGCTGCACAGATGACATGTTGTCAGGAAGACTTGTGCTAATATTGTGCACATTACCCTTCTGATCCTATTCTGCTCTTCCGATTGAATATGCCCATGGTCAGGCTACATTAAGCCATTTAATATGCACGCTAAATATTCTGTCTCCTAAAACAAAACCTTCATTATGAGTCCAATCATAGATTTAATTGGTTGACTTGTTTCAATTCTGTAAGGGCCACTCAGACCAATGAGGCTAACGGGAAAGTTTCTTCAAGGGCAAATCTTTCCTTGAGATCCACTAATGCAATAAGATGAGCGGTGCACGTTCGGATTATAGATGTAAATTGGAGTGTAATGATGTTCGCTGGTAGCTTTTAATCAAATATCTTGCAGAGAATGAGAGATGCATGCAGCCTCACTGTTGGGATGCGCTGCCGGTCAGCTGACGGAAAATGCTCTTAGGGAAGCAACTAGTGATCATCATTTTCTGTTCATTTTTTTCAAATGAATTGAGTAAATGAATTGTATTTTCATCAGAGATTATCAAAGGCCGAGGTAATATCTTCTTCTTTTTTCTGACCAACAATCCAAAACCCCAAGGTATTCCATTTACAGTCGTAAACAACAAAATAGATAAAAGCAGCAAATCAGAAGCTGGAATGAGCAAATATTTGGTTTTTTTTTCTTGATAAATGACTTCATTAATTATTCTTCCACTTTTGAATGCCTCAAAAAGGAAGATGAATCAAACGCCTTGACAAACTGTATTGATGCTCATTTTCCTACATCAACACTATCAATAGGATAGGAACAGGATTTTTGTTTTTACTTCAGTTTCATATCTGCAGAAATGCACAGGCACGATAATTCCTCTAAGAACATGCTGCGTCTGTTTTTGCATTTGTTTTTGTATCTCATGACTGCCCATGCCCTTTTGTCAACACACTAGCAGCTCAACAACATTCCCATTCTGTCTGATAATCCTCCTGTCCCGCAGGAAGAAAACTATGAATAAGAGACGGTAAAAAAAACTCACAGGGTCGGCGCTGGAAAGGGAGGGAGGGAGGGAGGGTAGCCAGTCAATAATGGCACAGACTGAAAGGTCATTTAACACATTCTACACCAGGTCATCATTTTGGCACATCACTGCTATCACCCTGCCCCATCCATACTAATACATGCATGAATGAAACATGAGGGGGAAAGGCACGTGGAGGAGTTTATACTAAAATGTGTCAGACAAGCAGCTTTAGGACATAAACGTGTCACCTGGCTGCCCAGGACTTGCTTCTCTGGTTTTTGACTTCAGGAAAGACTGATGTGTCTTTCACTACAGATTGCACTGCCTGGAGACACACAGCAGTGGTGCAGGACTTGGGAATACAGCATGATATCTTGCATTGCCCTGTGTCACTTTTGACCTTTGTTAAATTGTTTCTACTGTATTACCTCAGGTCAATTTACATCAGTTTCCTGCCTGCCACTCACAGTCACGGTCCTCAATAAACTTTTTAGGTGTGCGCAGGCACTTCATCGCACTGAGAAATCTCATTACAACTGAAAATGTATTCCAAATATCACTGCGTTCAGCTCATCTGCTGAAACAATCCGAGACATCCATTCACCGCCTATTTCATTTGGATTCCCCCTCTGGCTACTGATCCCAGCATCAAGTGTTTGTTTGGGAGAATTTCGTTCCGCCTCGTGGTGGGATGTGCAGGCATCGACAAGCCTTTGATCCTGCGTGAACATGTGACAAGCATGACTCTGCTCTCCGAAGGCTTTATCACAGCTGCTTTTTCATTCTTTTTTTTCTTCGCTGCCGTTTATCTTACTCAGTGACATCTCGGATCTCCAGCACGTACACAGAGAGTGGTACTGAGTGGGACTATCAGCGGGTGAAGCTTTCGCCAGGGTAATATAGTGCCCCTCCTCAAGGTTCAATTCCTGGCCTGTCATCCGGTAGCTGAGTTAGAGCCCGGCTTGCAGACACAAGACCTTCAAGGAAGCCATCACAGGCTCTGGCTGAATGTCTGCTCTTATAAAAATAATCTCTGCTTTCATTTATCTTTGTATTCCTTGCATGGCTGCCTGGTTTTCTCATAATGCCACAGATGATTTTCTTTTTGCCCTCAAGGATTATTATTGCCACTGCGGTGTCCTTGTCTTTACCCCTGTTGTTTTTGATTGTATCTCATTTTTACTTTTCTGTTATAATCCTTGCCACCCCTACTGCTCAAGAGCTATTTTGCCCCCATCGCAGTCTCTGATAATAGATACTTTTCATTGATCGATTTGCCTGGTTAAATAAAGGTTAAACAGAAATCAGATATTAATAATGGGATGTTTTATGATTGTCAGTTGTTTGCTTGCAGAGTCAAAAAGACAAGTAGGCCGTAATGCTTTTTGGATGAAAAGGAAATTGTGAATGCCACTTAGTTTACTGAGGCATAACCTCTGTTTTCTCTAATGCATCTGTAATGAAGGGTAAATAATTTGCAAATAAAGAGACCGTGTCCTCTAAAAAGAGACTATTGAGTGATATTTTTACCCTTTAATCATGACTGCGGGCTGTGTGATGATTTTTTTTTTTTTTTTTAGTAATTTACCTTTAATGTGTTCTATTTTGTGTGACATTTTGATTTGTTCCAAAGAAAGAACAGCACTTATGAGGTAATGAGCCTGGTTTGGGTTTTTTGTAATGCCACAGATTATGAATGTGTTGTTAAATACACTTTTATCTCTTTTCTTGTTTTAACAGGTCTCCTGCAATAAAGCATTTCAGCATGGCTCAACATCACATCCTAAATCCACCAGTGACTGACACTTAAAACATGAATATTTGTAAAAAGGTATTCTGAACTAAATATGACAAACTGTGGCAGTGTTTGTCTTTCTAAATTCTGCGAAGTAACCCCTGCCAAGGCCACGTGATCAGTGGAGAGTTGGCAAGAATCGCTGCATCTACAAATTAACTTGAAGAGCAGTTTATGCAGCAGTAGAAGCTTTTATCCTCTGCACTAGGAGAAGCAGAAAACCGGAAGAGTTATTAAAGCTGTGGTAATTGAGGAACAGATGTTGTAGGAGTGTTATCAATCTGCTAGAACTTAATACACCCAGCGGGTTACAATGACTCCTACTGAGAACATGACTGTTTTCTCTGCGGCAGATCGCTGTCCCAACTGCAGCTCCTCCGCCCACCCAGAGGTGGACGTAGCCAAGGCTGTGGTTTTGGGGATGGTGCTATTGGTGTTTGTGGTGTTCGGAGTTCTTGGCAACATCTTGGTTATCCTGTCGGTGTTGTTCCACCACCACTGGCGCTCTGTGACACACTACTTCATTGCCAACCTGGCAGCGGCAGACCTACTGCTCAGCTCCGCCGTACTGCCCTTCTCCGCCACCTCGGAGGCTCTTGGCAGATGGGTGTTTGGCCGGTCTTTCTGCAGCGTCTGGGCCGCCCTTGATGTCCTCTGCTGCACTGCCTCTATCCTCAGCCTGTGTGTGATCTCTATCGACCGCTACCTGGCTGTCAGCTACCCTCTGCGCTACCCTGCCATAGCTACGGGGAGGCGAGGCCTGACCGCGGTGGCTGCTCTCTGGGGACTCTCGGCAGCTATATCTGTGGGCCCCCTGTTTGGCTGGAAAGAGCCTGACCCAGAGGATGAGACTGTGTGCCGAATTACAGAGGAGCCGGGCTATGCTTTGTTCTCAGCACTAGGATCTTTCTATATCCCTCTGGCCATCATCCTGGCCATGTACTGCCGTGTGTATACTGTGGCCAAGAGAGAGACAAAAACCCACAGGAAGGGCAGTAAGGTAGATGGGGTTGAGACAGAGGGGGTGATGCTGAGGATACACAGAGGGAATGCTGCTCAGACGGGGAAGCAGGAGGAGGATGAGGTTACCACGAGGCAGAAACGTACCACCTTTTCCCTACCGAGGCTGCTTAAGTTCTCAAGAGAAGAGAAGGCAGCCAAGACTCTTGGCATTGTTGTCGGGTGCTTCATTCTGTGCTGGCTCCCTTTTTTCCTGGTTTTACCCATCGGTAGGTAACCTTCTGTTTTTAACTTCACATAACCCCAGTGTGTGCCTTTATAATGTTTTACTATTATTATTCAAGTCACAAAGTGAATGGTCTGTTTCTCTGAAAGATAAATCAATGTCAAAAACCCAGAAGGTTAACACCACTTATTGTTGTTTTCAAGGTATTTCCAGAATCCTCAAAGACTCTTCTGTCCATCTGGATCCAAATATTCTGTCTGCACGGCAATAAAAATGTTAACTTGTTTCCAGAATTGCAAGTTTATTCTTAAACCTGTAATGCCAATGTCTTTGGGAACTGGGGGACAGCAGAAACAACTTTTTATCATGACCTATGGACATTATAATCCCATTTGAATTTACCCGATAATTGCAAGTGCAACATTCACTGTCCTTTTAGCTCTGGTCGAATCTCCACCAACTCCCGAGGGGAATATTTGGCTCTTTAGCTGCTAAATGCTGCACTGTGTTCACCAGCTAGTTGCTGACTGTGTCTCCTTGCTGCTTGGTGCTGAGCAGGTAGAGTACAGTGGGTTTTTAGAGCTATTTCTCTTAAAAGGGCTGTCTGCTACAGCTGAAAACGACACTATGAGAGCTGTGAGAGTGAACTAAAACAGTTGTGTGGCACGGAGAGCTAAACAGTAAACTGGAACTCGCTGTAGCTCTGTGAAGTTTTTATACATAAGAACCTGACCTGCAGCGACTTCTTTAGTGATGTAGAAGAGTACACCATTACATCACTAGTGGGTGTGGTTACAGGTGAAACAGACTTGAAACTAGAGACGAATCAGAGATATAGAGAAATGTACCTAATAATAATAATAATAATTCTTCTTCTTGTTTTGTGGTGGTTGGGATAAAGTGAGTTGTGTGATGTTAATTTTGATTTGTTATACAAATTAATCAAGGAATTATGTCACTAAAAGCCACCAACTGGTGCGGTTTAAGAGTTGCAACATATGAAACAGCGAAATGATAGCAAGATAATGACTGAGGGAAAATGACAAAAAGAGAACCTTAAAATGATTTATCTGCTGTACAAGGAAATAAGGAAATAACATATCTGAATCTAAAAAGGATTTAAATAATTCAGAAAATAATTTATGTCATAATGAGAGTATTAACAATTCCTTTGATACTTGTAGAGGCCTGCTTTGTTCTGATAAATATGTAAAATCTTAATTTAAAATTTGTCAGAAGTAAAACTAAACCGAAGTGAACTAATTAAGGGTTATTCTGCTGTTGCAGTCAAACATCACTGCAGATATGAGGGTACATTAACAATATCAGAAGCTCAGGACAAGGTAAATTTCCTGTAAGCCAGATATTCTCAACTTTATCTTTAATAAATTATACCTGCATTTTTACAGACTCTTTCAAAGCAGCAGATAGCAGTGGTGTTATGTTATATAAGAAAGGACAGAAACCAACCATTGTGAAGCCTAATCTAAAATCTTAATTGCTTTTGAAATAACTCTTACAGCTTGACTGAGATAAGTGAATGTCAGTGTGGATAGGGTGTGTTTAAAGGTAGCCTGTCAGCAGTTACCTCCTAGGTCACAGATGGTGAGATTATTGCTAAACGTGTACAGTATTTGGTTACACAAACTGTAATCCTATTGAGGGAGGGAACAATCTATTATACAGGATGGAGGAGACGTGGATGAAACACATCATTTGGACAAATATGTGTTATCTTTTTCTCTTTTATTTGCCAGTGTGTACATTCATAACTAGGCCCAATGTGTAATCCAACTGTAAACAAAAGGGCTGCTCTAGGAAAAACTGGGAGTCTTAAATAGATGAACAGGTCTTTCAATACAGGGATCAACACTACACAATAACTATAGCTACATCTATATTCGTCATATAGTTGGACAAAACAATACCAACTCAAGGTCCTACATTTTCTAGAGCTTTTAGCTGTATTATCCAGTCTTCATCAGCGGATGGCGCATCGCTAAGTTGTCATTGAGATGGATCAGTTTACATGCAAGCTTAGTAGCAGTCATGATCTCATCCAGATCAATTGTATTTTTTGTTGAAAAAGATATTACTATTTACAAGGTCAGGGATAAACTTTCATGGTTATTATTTTTCTGAAGTTGTTGACTTTAGCGCTAAAAGGAAAAGCACAGGTGTAAATAATCAAATAAATTATGTTTGAATTTCATTTTGCTGCTTTAGTTTCAGGGTCCTGGCATTATTCATGCTATCTCACTGTCACAGTGCCATGGCTTACTGGGACACTTGATTAGAATGAAGTCAATGTTACTGTTAGTAGTAACGTGACATTTTCGTGCTATAAGTCAAAATGTCTGCTGCAAAAAGGGTCTATTGATAAATTTGTCGTTTAGCAGAAAGTTTTTTTGGTGTTCCCTGGTGCAGTGCAGAAATGTGATGGGTATAGATGTGGGGTATATTATTATATTGACTAAAATCTTTACATGCAGCCCTTATTTATGTTAATAATATTGCTAAACAACATGTGTCTGAATGCGTCCTGGCTCTACATGGAGCTTCGGGGGGACAGTGGTGTGTGTATGTGTGTGGTGTACTGGCCGCGTAGCTTTCGCTTGCACAAAGCTGAACATTGAACCAATTTCCTTTTGCCTGTTGGTGTGACAGTCTAATAAATGCCAACCCCCTTACTGGAGAAGTCTCAGCTGTTTTTTTGCCCCTCACCTCCAAAGCAGAGTGTTACTGAGGCAGTTAAAAAGGATGCCTGAACCATCCTCTGATCCTGCTGTTAGACTGCCTCCCAGCTGCCTCTGAAGCCTGGGCCGTTCTTTCCGGGGGCCACAGAGTCTGCTGGTGGGGCGTCTTTGAGAAGATAAGTAATGGTGAGAGGGACCGGTGTCTTGCAGCGGCTCATGTTGTGGAGAGCAAGTCCTACGAGGCGTGTGATTTTTGCAGGGCAACCGCTCCATCTGATGCCATTCAGCTTGTGGGTTTGGTGGGACGGGCTTAGCAGAGTGACAGCAGAAGAGAGGTGGAAGGTTTTGCACTGAGGATGTTCAAACTGCGTACCCCAGCCAGGGGAACAGGACTCTTGGTGACACTAGAGGAAAGCTCAAGGGTTAACAAATGTCAGTATGACCCTCCTCATGGAACCAAGAATGTCTGTCTGTACAATATTTTGTTGAGATATTTCAGTCTGGGCCAAAGTAACCAAATGACCATCTGACTGACAGACAGACAGATGGGCCAACTGGCCAACATTGCCACCCATAGAGCTGTGCTGCTATAAGGGCTAAAAATACAGACTCAGACTTTAATATGTAAATCTCACTGCAAGCCTCCTGTGGTTTAGCACTGTAGCACCAACTATTGTGATACAAAAGCTGTTGATTCCTGAATCATTTGTATAATGCTGCTTGATGATAAGCATTGGTCTATGAACACATCAAGGACCTTCCTCCTTCACCGCTTTCACTCTTCTGTTTGAGTTTCTCACAAGGGACATCAAAAAATTCAATTACAAGCAACCAAATAGACCAAATAAAACAACACATTGGGGCAGAATGGGCTTCTGCTGTGAGATGAAATGGAATGAACCAAAGTATTGCTCCCTCCTATGAAAGCTATTATAGATAACAAGCATGAGGCTTAATGGGCTGTAATGCTAGGAGGCATTCTCAGTCACCCTGTAGCCTCCCAAGGCAGCCAGTCATTGGAGAATAGTTCTGCATTTCAATCGAGACAGACCTTCACGGCTCACAGCGCATCGCTCATTCAAGCTCTGAGGCAATGATATTCTGAGATTCCCGGACTGAGGGTTTGAAACAATATTTTATTTTATTTTTTTCCTGAGCACTTTAAATCGAAAGCCTTTTTTGTGCTGTGGCGCTCGGAGGCCACCTTCACTGCAGCACAACACAGTATGCCTGCCAAGCTTATAAAATGAAGTGACTGCTGCTTGTCAATGCCACCATATAGAAAGTCGCTGTGAATCACTGCTTTCATAACGAGAAGTACACTCGGAGAGCGCAGACCTCCGCCTGGGTGTTTTGTTTCTACAGTGATGTTTCAGATGGCTATTAAATTGTGTTGCATGTTTAGACACAGCACACCATTCACTTTAATTATGATGGGTTCGCACAAGTGCAATGAATTCAGTTTATTTTGCCGTAGACACTGATGTTACAACTGACCTATCTTGCAGTGGTAATGAAAGGGAAAATTTATGAGCTTTTCTGCTCCAAAACTTAACAGGTTTTTCCTTTCTTCCTACACGTTCCACCGTTCCACCAAGTTTTAAAAATCAGACAAGCAAACTGCACCAAAAACACAACCTCCACCAAACAAATTTTTTGCACATGAAAATCAGACGTGTAACTGGAATTGAACAGCTGTTTTCAGTCTTGTATGTTTTGTTGTTAGTTTGCAGAACGTCTCAAAGACTGCTCCACAGATTGGAATATTTGGTGGACACTTCACGTCATGTGCCGGAGAGCAACTGATATGATTTTGGAGCGGATAGCACCATTAAGTATCCATTTATAAAGAACCTTATGTTATCTTGCATAAAGGATATCTTTTTGTAGCTTTGGTCATCATTTCTGTCAGTAATAATCCTTAAATCCTGAACCCAGAGGAGAAGAGGCTATTTTTTTTTATCTTGGTTCAAGGCAAATCAGCCCTTTTTCAATCATTTAAAATTGATTAAAAATCTTCTTTACAAAATTCCTTACACTCACTCGTGTTTAGACTTTAAATTTCATTTAATATCTTAAATAATGTAAATGTAAAGGAATGTCCAGCCTTGATGGGATATGGGCTTTCTATTTCTAACTGGGACTTGGTTAGTGGTGTATTAGTGTCTATTTCCATTCATATTTTGATTTGTGTCTGTTTGTGTGTGTTCTCTAGGATCCATCTTCCCATCCTGTAAGCCTTCTGAAACAATCTTTAAGATAACCTTCTGGCTGGGTTACCTCAACAGCTGCATTAACCCCATTATCTACCCATGCTTCAGCCGGGAGTTCAAGAAAGCCTTCCACAATGTGCTCCGTGGTCGCTGCCTGAGAACTGGGGCGCTGACTGCCAAACCGCAAGGACACATAACCAGCCATTCTTCCAGTCCAGGCCCCACGTCCAATACCTCTGTTATGTCAGGCCAAAGCTGTGTCACCATATCCTCATGGTGTTGCTGCAGGGCGCTTTCAACCTCTTCCTCGTCTGTCGGTGTTCCAGATCAGGCTCAAAGTGCACAAATCCAGAGCAAGAGTCTGCTGAAGGCGTGGTGTTTCTCAGCAAGTCGAACGCCGGTACCACGAAACCCCTCCGGTCACGGATCAACCAAGGTCTTATGCCTGTCCCTTGGCGTCACAGGAGAGGCTGTTTGATAGGCACGTTGAGGCAATTGAGGAGAATCTGATCCTGTACTTGGGGTTTGCCTCGGGGAAAACACTTACATACAACCTTTACATGTATAGTTATGCTCCTCAGAGGCATCAGAGCGCAGGGCCAGCCAATAGTGACTCGCCTCTAGAGCAGGCAGACGATAACTCTGTTGCCTTAGGGCTTTATGCCAGTATAAATGTCCTGAGTGTCAAATAAAATATGATCTGGGAGCGTGAATGAATAATATTTTGTCTACACTCAACGACCACTACTGAGCCTTACTCGAACAGAGAACCACATGTCGGAGACTGCGGAGTATGAACGTACAGCAAGAGAGTTTTGGAAAAAGTACAAACCTCTTTGGGGAAGAAATGTGAGGCAAAAACCGTGTGGACACTAGGTAACCTGGGAACAATCAGTTCTTTGCAAGGAATAAAGATATAATAACATCTTGTTAAAATGACATTGTAAAAGAACTCAAGAGACATGATTTCTTTAAACATTAGAGGTATTACTGCAGATTGCACAAAAGCCCCTAAGGGCAAAATACTCATAAATCCCGGCACAATTAGCATTCACTGAAAGCTCTGAGAAAGCGGAAGCTGGTGTAGGAGTGCGAGCATTATATTTGCGACCTCTGTTTTAAAGGGACTAGACACTGGCAAGCTTTGATTTCTAAATAGCTGTCACAAAGAGAGCAAAGTCAGGAATTGTTTGGGGAAAGAGATACAGACACACTGTAAAACCAGATAAGTTCATTTAACTCCCAAAATTGTTGAAAGTGATTACATCGAAAATAGTAGTAATATTAAGTAAAACTAACTAACTAAGTTAAAAAAACATTCTTGATCAAGTGGCTTTAGTAGTTTTAAGAAGCAGTCATTTTTATTTGTACTGTGATAACAAAATATGTAGTAAAACGTACTTTATCAAGAATGTTTTTTAACTTAAACAAATTGAGTTTGTGTTACTTAAATGTTTGGATTTAATCTTTTTCAACAATATTTTTGAGTTAAAATAAGTCCTTGCATTACAGTGCAGTAGATATAAACCTTACAAAACAGTGCAGTCTTAAAGAAAAGCCTTCATTCTACCCCTCTGAAGCTTTTAATGTTCAGTTTTTGCTTTTGTTGAGGCTGTTCTAAGATTTGTTGAATCAGCTTTTAATGTTTGACATCAAAGCTTCTGCTGTTGTTAAATAAATGAAAAGGTCTCTGATGCTTTTTCTCTTTCTCAGTGTTGGTGAAGGACTTTTTGTCACTGGTTTTCTGCCAGTACAGGTCTCTAGAGCCTCTCCACTCAAACACTGGAAAATTACATAATTGTCTGGTTGTTTGAAAGTGACGCATGAGTAATTCAAGCAGCGCTTGTCTTGACATCTTTGTTCATCTGTAACTGTATGTTGTCTTTAATGCTGCAGTCCGATTTTCGGCTCCTATGAGGTAGACAAACTCCAAATGAAGGTGACCAGCAGATCCAGCAGACGCATAGCAGCATTATAATCTCAGTTGAGTTGTGTTTGTGTCCACCTGGTGAATGCAAGTCCAACATTCATTATGCTTTTAGCTCTTGTTGGATCTCCACCAGCTCCTGAGGGAAAAATTGGGCTCTTCAGCTGCCAGATTTTACACTTTGTGTCTTTGTGTCTAATTTTATCAGTGCTGTAAGACCAAAACAATGAATTAAAAGAAATCAAAAACCACCGTAGCGTTGCAGAGTTTGTGGATACGAGTTACCCCTTTTACATTATACATACTCAATTTAAGAAATGTTGATTAATGGAGCTGTAAGTCTAACTTTCTTTGTTTCCAAAGCTAGAAATGAATTCTTCCTTTGTTGACTTGGGGTGAAAGGACCTGTTGGTATTCAGTTCACAAACCACCACCTGTGTGAGGTACAGGAGGTGGACAAAATAAAAAATGTGACATTATAAAAAAGTAATTAAGTTTGAATAAATTAAATCCCCGCTGCAAAAGACGCTACAAAAATATATTACTGTAACCTTTAACAAAACGCCGCAAGATTAGCAAGACATATGCCAACACACAAGTGGACCCTCATTAACACCGGAGAGACTCAGTGAATTAAAATCTATCTGAACAAAAACTGAGCTTTCTAAAGGGTAGTTCTGATTACAGAGCGCCTATTGGATTGCACTATACTTTATGAATGATGTCTTCAGTCTTTATTGAAATTAAGTGAGTTAATTAATTAGCAAAACAAAGCCCACAGTATCACACAAATTCATAAACAAACAATATGTGGTCCAGTGTCAAGATAATATGCATGTTTCATTAAAAAATATGTCATGAACATTGACTAATAGCTTTAACAAACATGTTTCGGGAGCCTTATCTTTTTTAAGAAGTTTTTCTTCTTAGCTATTAATCCTTGGCTTCCTTCTGTTACGAACGCAGTTGTTTTTCTTTGCTGTGCTCGGATTAAAGGCATTTTTCTACCCAACAGACACCATAACTGTGATGAATACCTGAGCATGCTTATCTGAGAAACGCAGCATGTTGACAGAATTTCCAGAAGACAAATGATTTGTCATTTTACAGTTGCCTAAGGTTAGGCAATAAGAAGAGTTTCCTTCATTCTGCACTGATTAGTACTTAAACAGTGGCATTATGTGACCGTTCAGGAGGATAATGTCCACGTTAAAACTCTTGTCAACTCCTTAAGCTCCCACATTATTGTGGCCTCTAAACTGTCTCACATAACTAATAAACATGCAGCTCTCGTTCCCTGAGATTATGCAGCCAAGGACTCAATGTTACACTGTATTAGGCAACAAATAGCAGAAGCAGATGTGTTGACTTTTCATTAAAGAGGCATGACTAAATGTGAAAAAAAGACATATATTTTAGAAAAGACAATGACATTTCACTCTTGGACCTATTATTACATTTTCACATATTCTTTTAAACCTCCATAAAGTCTTTTTCATTCTGCAAGTATAAACACTTACTTTTCATCTCCACTGACTGTTTCTCGTGTTTTAATGTGAAACCAACGTACACAATCAATCCTTGCATTTCCCTGTTTTGCTAGAATTCACAGCTTCACACAGCAGACGCTGCAAAGACAAAAGGAAAACAGTAAACCAGAAAACAAATGATTCATATCACAATATCAGACACTGAAAGAAGAATAACCAAACCACTGCTTGCTTCGTGTGTGTGTGTGTGTGTGTGTGTGCACATCCATGCCCAAGTTTGTGTACACTGTATAATTTGTTTGAGTGCACTTTGGGTAGTTTTTTATGTCTGTGTTTGTGTGTGAAGAGCAGTGAAGCAGTGTTATGTCTGCATTCATCAGTTTAGATATTATTTATGGAAATAAATTCATCAGATTCCTATTAAACATGTGGCTCTCATTTTCTAAAAGCAGCACAGGATTCAAACAGTGTTGCAGCAGCTGTCACATGAAGGCAAACACTTGTGATAAATGGATCTGGGTTCCCACAGACAAGTGTGCGCTGTTTAACCTCATCAGTTGACTTAGCAAAGTGATGTTTCATTACAAATGGCGATCATGATGAATAACTGTTGAGCAGCGACTAAAGCAGATGACAAGATGTTTAACTGTATCAGGGAGTCAAAGAGGCCTCATTATTTGCAATGAGGAAAATCTGGTTTTTGTTATGTGTCGAACTAGAAGATTTCCCTGAAACTTCTTCTTAGATTCTCCTTGAGTTGGGGTTCTTCATCAGTTTGAACTTGTACTGGCACTCTCAGAAGCATTGCCATTGCATTGCTAGCTTGTAGGAGTGTGTGGAAAAGCTACGGAAAAGTTTTGTAACTACACCAAATACGCCCACTGCTTGAGTACTCATTGAAACTCTCCCATGTGCGAAAATGTTGTCAGGTGTACCATCATAAGGCAGGTGTACGCACTGACGTTTTTGCAATTGTGCTAAATGGAGAAGCCTACTTGCAAATGCAACTCCTGGCACAAGTGTTGCTGTTAAAGTGGCCAAAATTTCCCACCGTGCTGTTTATTTGAATTATTTTCTGTCTCACTGAACGTTAAGATGATATGTTGTAACACTGGAGGTGACGAATTCTTGTCTGCCAGCAGAAATTAAATTGGACCTGGTTGTTTTTATTTTATAGCTCCTGAATTATTTGTTCCGAGTGCTTATAAAGGTTTGGGCAAAGGCCAAAGAGTTTTTCAAATGTTTATGCTATAGAGCAGACTAAGTTGGATGGATTGGACAGCAGCATGCATACAAAATTGTACTATGACAAAAAGGAATAAGAATAACTCTTAAGCAAGTAATTAAGCAAACTTTATACGTATTTTCAGCCATGAATCTCTCATCAGCCGTGTTTCCAGCAGCAGCAGCAGGCAGCTGTTTTTAGTATACTATTTCAGATAAACCCACTGTACCCTATCTGTCCAGCACCAGAAAGACAGTTAGCAACTAGCTGATGAAGAAAGCAGAACATTTAGCAAAGTTGGTGAAGACAAAAACAGAACTAAAAGGCTGAATTGGGACTTACATTCATCAGGTGGACAGAAACATGACTCCAACTGAATGCTAATGATGGTGTCTGCTGAATTAGTAAATTGTTTGCTAAAGCCAACTGTGTGTCCATTAGCTTGTTTTGAACTTCTGCTATTAACAAAAACTCAAATATGCAGCTTAAAAGCTACAGAGAAATGAATATTAACATTTCTTTATGTCAGTGCTCCCATAGTTTATTCAAACATTTCAGTGCAAGCTTGTATTATATATTTCTATGTTGTAAGTCCACCACAAAACATTCACAGTTGCAATCTTATTCCTAGCTCCATGATACTGTGCGTTAATTTGATTCTGACAGAAACCAGTTTATTTAAAGGGAAAAGCAGAAATAAAAAAGAAAAAAGAAAAGTAACAACTACACAGGTGTTTTCACTTTACCTGACTCTAACTGGTATGATGACCTCATGTTACTCAAAGCACAGCTCCTCCAAATTTCAACCTGAGCTGTAATCCGTCAGAACTAAAATT